AGGAGATGCGTCGGCATTGTTCAAAAGAAATGGAACATTGTTGCGACCGGACTTGTCATGGAATGAGTTTGACTTTAATCTTTCCAGGGTGAAGCTAGTCAAGAGCCTAGAATATTTGGACTTATCCCATAACAGGATCAGAGGGAGTATCCCCCAAGGAGGTCATGAGATTGAATTTTTATTGGCTAAACGTGAGCTATAATCGGCCATATAAAGAGATTCCATTTGGTAGGAAGGTGTAGGAGTTCAGTGCCGACTCTTTTTTTCATTACCATTGTCTATATGGTCAGCCACTCCCCAAGTGCTAGCAGCTTAATCGGCTCATCGTGGATGACGAAAGTAATGAACTCTGTTCATTGAGAGCAAACCCATTTTTATTTGATAAAGAGGAAGAAGAAACCCTTAACCCCTGTTTTTTTATTCGTTTTATTAAAAATGGGATAAGAGGAATGGAAGACATTTGAAACATATACTAATCCCACTTACACATGTAAGATTCACGCATGAGAGGATGCTGAGATGACACCCTCTGATTGATGTACAGGAAGATATGAAGAGATCTGGACTCCTTAAATGCATGATTCCAATGTCCCATAGAAATTGTTCAAAGGCTGGGTTGGGCTGGATTATAGTGCTTATCCATTGAAAATGTCCAAGCCTAAGAAGTTAAATTCCAAGCCCGAAAGCTCGATGTGGATAAGAAGTAAACATTACTAATTATCGGGCCAGGCTCTGGCTCATGCTAGGCTAATTTAAGCAGTCCAAGACTTTGACCCAAAAAATAATCGGGGCTGATACTACCCACATGCATCAGAACATGCTCTAGCTCGATAAGGAATAGACTGGGCCGGGCAACCCGCCCCATGAACAGGTCTATACGCCTAACTAGAACATTAAAAACATTACCACAGCTTCTAAGTTGTTGCATACTAATCATCGAAAAAAGTTTTGAGTTGCATATATTGAAAGTTGTTTATTTATTATGAAAAAATTATCTTTCAAAAGCAAGATAATGTCCATCATAGCAGAAAGTTATGATACATAAAGACTAAAATCAAATCAAATAGACCCTCATTTCCTGATCAGGTAACGGATTCAGATTATGTCCTAGATTTGTTCATATTGAACCGTGATCGGTGTTGGGTGTTGTATACTGATACGTGCGATAATGAAAGGTAGTTTGGATGTTGAGTTGACGAGTTAGTCGGGTCAACTTGCAAAAAGATAGTATTAGAGTATCCTGGCTGTTTTATTCAGGGTGGGTACTCTGATGCTTAAGTCAATGAGCTGAAGATTTTAAAGAGAGCTAAAGAGCAAAAGAGCTGTAAGAGTTAAATTGCATATACCACTTGAAGCAGGAAATGAGACTTTTATATAGGTATTGTTTGACGTGAGTTCCCACTCATTATGTTCGAGATCTCTGGGAAGACGTGGCTGACTGGTTTAAAGTCCTCAGAGATAGTTTCGCATGTATGCTAGTCTTTTGTGCCTTCATTCAGAACATTCATGGGAGCTGATTTCCGGAGGACCCGGGAATGGTGGGACACTTGCGGAGGAAGTCGGCGAGCACGTCTCGCAGGGAGGTCGCTCCTCACGCCAAGGTCCCTTGGACCGATACTGATAGGTACTATAGGTTGACAAGTCCTCAAGGGAAGTTGCTCCTGACACCGAAGTCCTTTGGATTGGTAACGATGAGGTACTACAAATCGGCCCCGGATGAAGTGCTACTAGTCGCTCTACTAAATAACTGAAGTGCCCGAGCTATGTATGAGATGCCCTGAACTGATTTTGGAGTGCATCTCTTTGATTTAGCGAGATACGCATCTATCCACATCGCATTGAGGTGTCAAGCAGTGATGAAAAATGCCACATGTCACCAAGTGAGAGGGGGGCCAAATCACCCCTCATCACATCCCATGCCCCTAACTGGTTCGTCCCATACATTAGGTTTGACCCGGTCAACATACACGACTCTGTGCAACCTCACTGTCTCTGTAGCTGTGTCTCGTGTACTGAAGTTTGCAACATCACGTTACACCGAAAGGATCAGCAGTCATTCCAGTGTAGCGAGTCCCAGCCGAAATATAGGGCGAAGACAGCGGCTGATATGGTATAGGGGAGGGACCACCAGGTCCACCGTCCACCACCATATATTTATTTTCTTTTACACATCATGAGCGGGCACACGTCACACCCGCAGCAAGTGAGATACACGTGTATTTCAATGGGGACCAGCTCTCTAGTTGCAGTGTTGCACACGTGCAGGTGAAGAGGGAGGAGCAGTGCAGACTGGTGACTGCAGTGCAGAGGGGGCTTGCCACAGAGACTTGAAAGGGAAGGGATCATCATATGATATCATCACCTCCTTCCATCCCTCTCTCCAGAAGAAGCACGGTGGTTAGATAGGTTAGCTTTAGATTTACTAATATCACACAATCTGATCGCTTCTGCCTCAAAAGCTACGTCCATGCCAAAGCCAAACAACGATTTGGAAGAAGGAATCCTCAAGCCTCGCACGATATGTTTCGATTCCACGACGTGGCCATCATTTCGTGTCGGCACGGGCTTCGCCAACTCACCCCAAAACAGACTCCCCCGTTCGAGTTGGGAAGGGAACTAGGGAAGGGCTCAAGGGCTCAATCAATAGAGATAAAGAGGACATAGAGGACTTAAGCGTCAATACATCATCGTTTTAATAATGAAAAGAAAAAGAAGGGGATTGCTTTTAGAAGCTCTCCGATGGCCGTTACCACTATCGCCTTTCAGTCTCAAGTCTCATCGGTTTGGCTTTGGCCCCTCTCTTCGTCATAAATCGTACTTTGTTTTGCCCTTCCAAACTCCGATGCGCTCTCTCTCTCTCAACAACATTATTAGCTGCAACTGTCTTCTGTCTCCTTGGCCAACTCACAACCAGTTCAATTCCAGCTCACACCATCACCCCCACACTCTCCTCCGGGGGGGGGGGGGTCCTATTTGCTGGTCAAACTGAAGCCTTCACCTTCATTGCCAAAGACCAGAATGCCCTTCTGCCATACAGCTGGCCACGTTGCCACCCACTTAATGCAGAGAAAGACAGACTTGAAACGTCACGTGGCCAATGTTGGTTTGAACCCCATGCCAAGTGCCCCGCACTGCAGAGAGCATCTCCTCTGAATCAATACCAACCGTGCTCCATGCTCTCCTCTTCCTTTTTATTCTCTCCTCTGTCTCTCCGCGTATTGGGCTGGCATTCATCAGTACCGCCCGTTTCCCCTTCTCAAATTGCCGTCACCAAACGATTCATCCGTCACCAAACGATTCATCCCCTTCTCAATGACCAGTACGCCAAACGCTCCCTCCGTTAAAACTACACAGCTGGTTAAGTTTTCTTGTTCTGTCTAGATTCAATCCAAACCGTCAGATATCAGTAGATTCACGTGCTCGCCTCTCTGTGTTATTCCCTCTTGCCTAGCTCCCACGGGTATTATACACAGAATATTTTCCTTGATATTCCTTTCCCGTAGTATTTTAACTATTAATTTATGTATTTTTCTTTCCTACAAGGCTTCAATTGAATGAGAAATCAGCCGTTGGATCCAAATGATGGCAGATACTATCTCAGTGCCGTATACCTCGGGTTAGCCAAGTGCACTTCCTCATACTTCTTCCATTCCATGGGGATAATTGGGAAGAATGAAAAAAAAAAGAAGGCAGAAGTTCAAACCGTCCAGCTTCAGCCTTCAGCTTTGTGTGACTTTCGAACATAAAGAAACTGACTCATCAGGCGGACATTTCGTTCCGTAGTTCTCTCATCTCTTGCATGGGGTCCACCGAAATATCCCTAAAATCAAACTAATCTGATTATAGAATTTCTTGCGAAATTCAAGGTCATTCGATTGTCTTTAAATTCCTAAGGTCATGGTAGACTGCACCTCATCCACACCGTTGGATCTTCTTCAGTCACGCCTGGAATCGCGGAATTAATATATAGTACAACATGAAATTTTATTTCTGCGATGAGTCATTGCCATTTGGTCGTCCATTCGGAATTCGGGACGACCTCTTAAATCCAGAAGACAAGTTGGAAGCATGCTTAATGAAAACAATCTCAATCATTAATTCCAGTCCTAATTCCAAAAGTTTAGTTCCCCTGGTTAAAAAGCCCACAGGAAAAACAAGCCCAACAATTATTATGATTGCCCAATTTCGGTGAAAATACACAAGCAAAGCAGAATTACTCCCTCGAACAGTTCTAGGGGACCCACCAATTGAACTGTCTATACCACTGATCAGTGGGACCACGTGATGCCGCAAGGAGTAGGTCGTATCGAGGTTGTTGTAGTCGGTTGGACTACGTAGGTCCCTCTCCTTCTATCATCATGACCGTTTCGTCTGCCTCCGAAGGGGAATCTCGAATTCCCGCAATTGGTAATCTGTTAAGAGTCCACTTCGGTACGACATACATATTCCTTACTATCTCCACCGTTCATCTGTAATTGAGATTCGTTCTATCAAGATCTCAAGAGCATCCAACGGTAAGGAATACCTTCAAAGACCGGCTTTATCGTTTTGTGCGAGCTAAGTAAGACTGGGCTGTGGGCTCTGGGCTGCACGTAAGTCGTCGGGTACGATAAATCCGTTATGGTTGCACCACATTAAGCTGTCTTTTTGAAACGACACATATATAAGTCGTAATCACCAAGTGATCCTTCGTGTCGTAATCATCTTATATTCCTAATATATAAGGTTCTGTGGAGGTAATAATTCTCAAGCGATTATTAATCTACTTTAATACAATTTAATAACGTTAAAACATGGGACCTAAGTGGCATTACACGCTGCGTCCTATCCCTGCATCTGAACCGTTTAATTGGCCCATCTTGTACTGGGAGAGGTGGATAGATAGCTAATGGCTTAATGCACAAATAGCAGTGGAATTGTGGGAAAAAAAAAAGAGTTGAAAAGGACTCCAGACCACGTTGATGGCCAAGCCAAGTCTATCTGTCTGCCTGTCTGTCTCTGTTTTTCTTGCTTATTTTATTTCCAGTCCAAGCTGTAACACTTTTTTGCGGCCTCTCTCCTTATATTCCTTGGTTGCCCAAGCCCAACGGATTCCATATTTCCAGTTCCATCTTCTCTCTGCTTCTCTGTAGTCTCTCGTCTGTACTGGGGTGGGGTTTTCAGAGTCGTTTAAAGCTGCTGTTCTCGAAGACCACATGGGGTTGGGTAGAAAATTTCACGCCTGAAAGAGAAAGAGAGGAGTTGAGTTGGTAACCGTGTTCGAACTTTCAAGTTCACCAGAGAAAAGAGGGGGAGATATCGATCGGCGGAAATGACGATGAGTAACAATGTCGGGCAGTTCGGAGACACGACGCTGACCAAGGTTTTCGTTGGGGGGTTAGCGTGGGAGACGCAGAAGGAAGCCATGAGAGAGCACTTTGAGAAGTATGGTGAGATCCTGGAGGCAGTCATCATTTCTGACAAGGTCACCGGGAGATCCAAGGGCTACGGATTTGTAAGTGACACCAACACCGGCGTCATAAGTAGTGTTGTGTATAGGATCTACCAGTTTGGCGTTTCATACATACGCCGCTGCTGCTGGGCTAATCTACGCGGGGGGTTGGTTTTTTGTAGGTGACGTTTAAGGACGCGGAAGCGGCGAAGAAGGCATGCGAGGACCCCACACCGGTGATCAACGGCCGCCGAGCAAACTGCAACCTGGCTTCCCTCGGGGCTCGCCGTGCGAAGTCATCGCCATCTCCGTCGCCGTCAACAACACCTCAACAAGGTAGGTACCTTAATAAGAGAAGACTGATGAGAGAGAGCCACTGCCATATCCATCATGGAGTTGGCTATTTTCTTTCTTTTTCCCGTAAATTCTATAAACAAAGGTTTGGTTTTGATCATCAAGGATCTAATGTTGGACCGAGGTCCACGTCATCGGCACCACCGAATCAGGTACAGTGGTACTACCCGACGGGGACACCGGCATTGCCTTACCAGCACCACCATCACGCGGTTCCTTTCTACGGGTATGCATGCATTTCTTCTTTTCATCTTCTCACGATGCTTCTTCGATGTCCGATTTACAAATAGAAAGATAAGTCCGCCTTACACGATATAAATATCCTTTCAGGTATTCTCCGACCTACATTGCCGCTGATTACGGTTACAACCCTGTAAGTAAACTTCACTTCACGATACAACAAAATCAATATGATCAGATCTAGCGCTATGTATCGATCCTGTGGCTACATCCAAGCCTTTGGTTGAACCTTTGATCATCATAACGGATGGTTCTGATGGGACCCATTGGCCATTGCATTGATAAATAATACCGAATCAAACAATTTATGAATGCTGGTTTGGTTGATTGGCTGCTAAAACTTAATAAAGAATGTATTATTGACTTATTGTGATGGGGGATGATGCATAGAAACTGAGCTACAGCGGTGGGTCCTACATGAACGGGCACTACACGCAGATGTACCCGGCGGGACAAGGGATGATGAACGCAAACACGATGATGCCTGTGTATCCATTCTATCATTACCATCAATCGCAGACGATGGGAATTCCTGCTCATCACATGTTCCCACCGACAGCAGCGGCGGGGCCCATGGCCACCGTCCCAGCTATCATCTCCAAGCCCACTGCGATGGTTCCTAACACAGGTACAATGTTAACACACTGAATCAGAGTATCGGATTTTAGAATTAGAGAGTCTGGTCTGAGAACTGAGGGAAGCAGAAGATAAACTTACTTTGAGATGCAGATCTGGGCAACTTTGAGATGCTTATGTTTAGGTTTATTTAATTTATTGATTTTTTTTTGGTGTGGGTTGGTTGGGTATTTTCAATATTGTAAACTGATATAGACAAACAGTTTGTTTGGCTGTGGAATAGGTACCCGGACGCAGGTGAAAATTTTTGAGGAGGCTAAGAGTTCCTGAAAGTGTGAAATAACTACTGTTGAAGGGAGACATGCAACTATATTATCTAATCTCTGAGATTCCTATATTCATTTTTCTTTTTCCTTTTTGCCTTTTTTTTTTTAAATTTTATGTAGTTGTCAATTAGGGTTTCATAAGATTCATTCATTCTCTCTAACATGCATCTCAGCTTGAGATGCTACCCCCTAAAAAATAGTTATGGAAGTCATGCCTGTTTACCCATGTATTTTTTATGGTAAGCTTAGTGGCTTCATTCAATCTGCTGCAAAGACACCGTTTATCTATATTGAACAACCACCTCTCTTTCTCTCTCTCTGACATGTACACATATACACATATGTACTTGCAATGAAGTAAATCAAGTAATTATCCAACAAATGATATGAAATTGCCATGCGCAATGATAACTTATAACTAGGGGTGCAAGTGGGGCGGGCTGGGTTGGATTTATGTTCAACCCAGGCCCAGTTTTGGGCTTAAGACTCGAGCCCAACATCAAGTTTGATCTTTTCAATCCAAGCCCAGCCCGTATTGTAATTTGATGAACTTATTGGGCTCAGGTTAGTAGATGAATTCACTCTAAAAATATGCATGTATATATGTATATATGAATGTATATAGTAGGGTTAAGCTCATATTGGGATGACCTAAGAGCTAGGTTTAAGTCTAACAAAAAAGAATTAAAAAAGTCCAAAGTCTTGGGCCCAAACCCAGCCCGAGGATCAAATATTCATTTTGTGTAAAATTTTGGATTGGGTCGGCCTGGTCTCAGGTTGAGCCCACACAAGTTCCACTCGTACTTATGACCGGTGACAGATTTAAAAAAACAAATCCCTTGAAGATGCCACATGTAAAATTTGGACCTAGACCCAACCCTAAATATTGGGCATTTGGACCTAATGTTCGATCCCGTTATATTAATTCTTACACCAGCCTGTTTCAGTTTTCCTTTTATCATGAAACCTGTAATCACTCCCCCGTTACACCAGCCGTGCATCGCATGGAGCTCTTCCAGTGTCAAAAAAAAAATAACAATAATAAAGAACCTAAAACTTGCAACTACAATATGGCCCAAGGGCTATGTAATGTGGTTTTACTATCCACAGCCTTTTTTAAAGGGAATGAATGTAAACTCCAGAAATTGCAAGTAGTGGGTCGATTCTCTTGAAAATCTGGGAGAAGGGTATTTAGGACGCTTGGATAATTTAGGGTCTGACTTGCCAGTCAAGCCAACTATTTTGACCTGCCACGTGGCATTCATTTGGTCATCATAGGTGGAGACGTGCCTAGGCTTTACATTAACGATTTTAGCACTCACTAGGAGTAACAGCAAAGCCTCCAAATTAGAGTCTGAAACAGTGAAACTCAATGAAAAACACTCAAATTGTTGATGGGAATGAATCCATCGCAATTTTTTTTTTTTTTCGGTACTAGAAACCAATGAACCATACAGTTTGACAACCATGGCATCCCAAATTCCCTCAATTCAAGGTATTGACATCACCAGACATTCACTTTAACCTGCAGAAAATGGCATCATATGAATGCGTAGATAAATTACTGAAACAGAGTGAGGACAATGCCAATATTCCACGTTTGAGTGTGCCCAAGATTCTATTGTCGTTAACTTGGTATTCCTTACAGTGGGTTAATAATGAGTTTCTCCACCAATTCAGGAAAAAGAAAAACCTGTAGAGTAAACTTGTAAAGGAGTAGACACCAAATTTGGACTTCATGGAATAACTTACATCCATTTTATTTGCAAACAAGGGTAGATTTGACTAGATAAAAAAATGGCTTGCTAGTTGCTAACAGACTATATATACATGATACATTAGCTAATATTGCATTCTCTATTATTCAAACCTTCTTCAGAAGAATCACCATCTGACAATCCAAAAATATATGCTTCTCCTTCATCTTCTCCATCACTGTCTTGATCAGCCCTGGTGTATCTCCTTTCAATATAAGCCAATGTCTGCCTTCTCTGCAGCCTCAATACATGCATGATAACATCAGGGTTAAGTGTGATCCGTGAACGATCCTCCCTGCCCTGCCTGTTAGCCTCCATTATCTGTCAAAAGAAGGCCAAGAATAATAAATACCTAAAAGAAGGAAATATTGGTATATTTTTTGAAGCTGAATTCACCAAGTACCTCCTCTGCATTGTCAGGCAGTGGAATGGGATCATTAGCCAGAGGAGCCCAGAGCTTGATATTTTTTTCCATCCCGCTAGTGGCAAAAACAGGGAAGTGAGGGTGGGGCTCAAGCTGGTTTACTACTTGCCTATCGCCCACCATTAGACGCAAGAGTTGACCACCCTTTTTCTTCCATATGAATATATGACCACAATCTGACCCACTCAAAACATACTCATCACTGGGTCCAAAGAAGCTTACTCCTTTAACTGTTTGTGAATTCCTATGCCCTATATACACTTGTGGTTGCTCCTGTTTCTGTAAACTCTCAGCTGGAACAGACGGAGGGTCAGGACCTATGCCCATGTTCTTTTGAAATAGGTAGACAAGTTCATCGTTGTAAGAGACAAGCAGCTCACTCTTCTTAGAGTATGCCAACCCGGTGATGTGAACACCATTGTAGCCAATCAGATGATGGGGACAGAAGGTATTTACTGGTCTGTCTGAATTACTTGATGCATCCCATTGGTAGTTCCTGATGTCATAAACACGTGCATATTCATCAGAACCACCAATGGAAAAATAATTTGGGTTTCTTGGGTCAATCACAATGGAATTCAATTCTATTTTTGTGTGGGGTGTTTTGTTTTCAGTGAAGGAAGAGCACCAGAAAAGCTTGGTAGCAGAGTGGCTTCTCAGATCAAACTGCAAAAATAAAGTTAGGGCTCCATAAATCTAATGAGAAGAGCGGGACCGTATTCATGAAATAACTAGGATTTGACAGTGAATCTGACATACATGCTGGATGAAACCATCCTCGCCACAACTGTAAAATATGTGGGGACTTCCTGGCTCTATAGCAAGCTTGTATACACGACCTTGGTGCTTTCCCAACCTTTTTGTATCAACCCATCCATCCTCCAAGATCTGACCAAGCCTGATCTGCAATAAGAGAACATCTAAAATATAGGTCACTATTTCTCTTTAGCATCTCACAATGGATATGAATATGGATGTGGCACTGAACAAAATAGAATGGCAGAGCATGATTTCATGTATTATAGCTAAGCCCATATAGTTGGTAAAAGGCTTGGGTGATGGTTTCTTTTGTTAGTGGGTTGAACTAGGAAGTGGCTGAAAACAATTATGGAAACCAGGTTCAAAGTATCTTTCTTTATGTTTTCTTTTTATTTTCCCTTTGTGAGGGAGGAGGTAGATGAAGGGACTTGTGTCTTATGCAACATAGGTCACTTTTGGGTTTTGTCCTCCTGCAATTTCAAATACTAGGCTAGATTCAATTCTTAAACATCACAAATGCTTAAGATATTTCATCAGCTTACAAAAAAAAGCCACTGTTGGGGGTCTTATCCTCCTGCAACTTCAAATATTAGCCTAGATTGCATCCATGCCCCTGTATCGAAAGGTAGACCTATTATCATTTCTTTAAGATTACAAATGGTCAAGCTATTTCATGAAATATCATTACCCAATGTTGGTCCAGCTATCTGTGGTCTTGGGAGGTAGACTGAGATACAGTCCTAATATTTGGCACTTTCTTGCACAAAGTGGCTTCTCTAAGACTCGAACTGACATTCTCATGCTTGACAGCCCAAGGTTTACCATTAACCCAGAAATGGATTAAGATATTTCATCTAAACCAAAAATAGAGCCACTTGACAAGGTTCTTTTAGTTACTAGATACATTACAACTAGGTTCTTTCAACAATAAAGGCACACACGCACACAAATAAGAGGAATGCTAGACTATGCTAGATAACAATGAGTTTATGCAACTCTTAGCTACCTTGCTCTACAGGTACAGTGGGACCCATGATAAGAAACTACAAGACAAAAACAAAAGTCTTTTTATGTGAAAATAAAACAAGAGTAAAATAGATTCGTTTTCTAATATCCTTCCACAAATAATCTACTAATATGGGGTTTAAATACAAAATCTTAGTAAGCTACAAGTTGATCAAAATTTTGGGGCCCAAGGGCAAGAAAGCCCGACAGAAATAACCGTGATAATGATCGATTACTGGTATATGATTCCATTAGATTGAGAGGAGTTATTTTAGAAGAAATAACACTGAGCAACCTCAGATTTCTGAGATCGACAGCTAACCAACTAAATTCTTCAATAATCAACAACAGGGATGTTTGGCCTATGTCTTGACCGACTTGTCATCATATTCCAAGTAACACCACCTCAATATTGTTGAAGTGCCAAATTAATAAATGATAATTTAAATAGTAGCCTGAACTGCCAAGATTATCGTTCAAAGGAGGGAAACAATGAAAGAAAAGAGAAGAAAAATCCTTGCATTAACATTTACAAAGATGTCAACAGGCTATGAAACATGAAACTGCAGCCAAGTTCACAACCAAGTTCACAACCAAGATTCTGAAACAATGAAAGTGCATTTTTGGGGAATCATTTTTGAGAGTGAAAGAATGGAAGTATGAATCTACCTGGCCATCACCGGCAGAAGTTACTATTTTTCTATCATCAGTGAATGGCATGATTCTGGTTTGGAATATATTATCTATATGACCAGAAGGATACGAGAGCTTTTTAGTTCTAGTTGCCCAATTCCATAATATGACTTCTGTGTCATCAGAACCCGAGACAAGAAAGTCGCCTGTAGAGTTGAACTCTACTGCATTGACACAACCTTCATGACCATCTAGTTTCCCATACAGATCGATCCGTTTTACCAGAACCTGTTGCAGAAAAGAAGATTTAATAAGAACAATCAATAACACTCCAATAACAAGATGAAAAAAAGAACCAACCACATTTAATAAATTCAGACACTGCTTTTTAGCATGTGGACACTTCTAACTCGTAGGGGGAGGAGGGTGACCATTTCCATGAAGATCATCTGTTATTTAGAATACATAAACATTCAACATTTGTTAATGGGTTGCCAAGAGGATTTTGCTGAACTGGATCCAGGGTCTTCAAATTTCCAGGCTACAAGTAGAAATAATAGCTTAATCTAACAAAAATAACAAAAACCAAAGTCTTCTTCTCATCAGATATTATTAAACATAATCCACCTAGTTCATCATAAACCCTAAACAGTCGTGCAAGTTAGCCCCAAGAAGCAAAGAAGAAAAATAAGAAAAAAAAAGGTAGAATTCCAGAATTATATTGTCGCTATTATACAGAAAAATGTAGTCTATCAACCAAAACTGACTACACATTGGTATTCATAAATAAAGCTTCACAGTAAGTAAATAAACAAAGACACCCCGACCTTAACTTCAATTCCTCCAAACAGAAAGAAAGGAGTCATACAACAAAAGGAAGAAAAAGGAAAAATGAATAAGCAACAGGGAGAGGAGGGAAAACAGTAAGAATCCAGACCTCGGAACCGCCAATCAGTCGTTCGACGCTTCTGGGCTGAGATAGACCCACCTGCCTCCGCCAAAGCTCTGCAAACCCACCTCTAGAGCCCTTCGAAAGGGACTCCATCCTCAGAAGAATTTTCTCAAATATGGAATTCCGCTTATGCGTTGCAGAGCTCAACGATCAAAACATACATGTTTGTCGAGGTACGAGAAGGAATCAGAATTCAGAACTCTAACCGAAGAGAAGAGAGTGGCATTTGACGGAAAGGAGCCAGCAGCAGCAGAAATAAATAGCGACTGGAAAAGGAAAAAGCGGTGTGTTTCCAGCATCATGGACATTAATTTGAGTTCATGATCTAACGACCAAGAAAGAGCGAGATATCAGGACCCACCGTGGGTGGTGGCTGCCAAGTGCCAAGCGCAAGAAAGAGGAAGGACAGATTCTGATCATCGTTGTTGGGTGTGGGACTGGGAGTCTGGGAGAGCAGCAGTAGATCGTGTGATGTGATGTGATCTGATCCGATGGCCGATCTCCACCCGTTGTTGATCCCCTCCCTCGTGACTCGTGACTCGTGGCACTCACCATTCACCAAACGAATCGCCAGTCACTTGATTTGAGGTTGTTTTTTTTTTCGGTAAATTACAAAGACCATCGTATTATGATGGGTCAGTGACAAAGACCCCTTACACTTTTTTTTTTGTGCGATAAAGACCCTTAAACTTTGGCGGTTAGACAAAGACCCCACTACTTTAACGTGTTCCGTCAATTAATTTCGAAAAATATTCTCATTTGAGTGTTTAAATTTTTTTAAATGCCCAAATTATCCTTTTATAATTAAATTTACTTGTTTTCTTTAATTTATGAAATCATATTTACCACTATTTGTTTGAGTAATATGTCGTCCTCGCTGCCTCCTTGGCGTCCCCGAGAAAAGGCAACGCGGGTAGTCTCATGCTCTGCTCTTGCAGAGCGACGCATGATTGTAAATCATATTCTTGACGTCACGTGAGAACGTGAGACACTGAGAGTGACTTAGATATTAACCAGAAGAACCAGGTCAAGGCTGCCATGTCGTGTCTCGATCGGCTAAGATAAAGCTAATCACCATTCACAAGTCTATGCAAAGCCGCAAATTTGGGAACCTGTTTCCAGAGCGTCCGATTAATTGAGCCAAACCTTTCGTTTCTCAGGCAGATAACACTTTCAAATGCGGTGGTGAATTCTGTCAATGGAAACGAGGGAGACAAGTATTCTGGGTCAAATCCAAAAGCAATCTTACAAATGTTGTCAAAGCAAATCTCGGCAGCGATCATTGAGAGATTCCGGCTGAATAACTAAAAATGCAGCATTCGAATCCATGGACGCAGAAACGGAGAGTAATGATCTAGAAGACAAAAGAGAAAGGGACAACGATACCTCCAACAAGAAAAGAACGACTTGACCTTCCAATTGAAATCTGACAATCCGCCTACATCCAGAATTGAGAAGGGCTTAATGTAATTGCTGCTCCTTTGATGGAACTGGTTCATAACCATAGATAACTACTTGTGTGAACCTGAAAACTGCATTTAATAATTTGATTACAACTGAAATTAGGCATTCAGATGATCAATAAACACGAAAATAGACATGGATGATGCTGAACTAAGAAACGAGGCCATGCTAAGTTAGTTCAGTACGTGTTCAACAGACCAATGATATATATCAAGATGTCCCAAAGCTTCCAAATCAATCCGGTCAATTCCACTCCTGCTATATATTGGGCTTGTGGGCACAACCTGATTGAACTTATTCGATTCAGTTTCATAAAGCAGGTTGCAAATTCTTTGGAGACATGCATAAGATATATGTTGTTTTCTTGTAAACGATCCTTTGTGAATAAATACTTAAAAGTTTTGTGAAATGAATAAGAAATATATGAGAGATTCAATAATTGGCGTACAAAGTGGTGCTTGCTCTGTTTTGGCTTCATCTTGCAATTGAACCAATCAAAGTCCTATGACAGTACATGGTGCTTGCTCTGTTTTGGTGTCAACAAATACCAGTTGCAAATAGAAGTGGTTCTTGAATTTTCTTCTCCTGTAATGCAAGAGAAAAGAGCTCAATATATACGGTGCAGCTTAACCCCCTCCACATCTCCCTTAATTTCTTGACTTCAATGATAAACTATCAAGTCTGCTCTGCAATTTGTTTACCTTCTCTGGATTGATGACTTGTATTTTCTCAAGTGTCCTTAATTATTGGGTTGATCTTCCATGGAATGGTTGTACCTTGTCTTGATTATGTCTGTTGAGAAGCTTAGATTATTAATTAGCCATTCAATTGCTAAACCGTGTAGGCATTCATTCCATGGCATTGCAGATTTTGGACTACATAGCCATAGCCATAGCCATAGCCAGACACACACACACACACGCACGTTAGGTACCGTAGTCTTTTTCATGTGCTTCGACTATCTATTCTCTGCAAGACTGCAATCCATTTGCTACTTTCGTCAGACTGTAATCTTCTAATGTGGTTCAGAAATCTCATTTCATTCAGGGAATGAAACCATCCATTGCTACTTTAGTTCTTTTGGTGAAAGTTTTCTAGAAGCTCAACATATGGACCTCACCACGGAACAAATCCTCAACAGAGAGGATAGTAACTCCAGAAGACACATTTTTAAGATGGCTAGTTTTGGTTGATGCGTTGGTTTAAGACCAATGGAATCAACGACCATGAGTAATGACAAGTTGCGTGGCAAGTCACCACATCTCAACTCAATGCCCACTTTTGCAATGGACACCGAGGCGATTCGCCAATAAGTTGGATTCGTGGGTGGAAGAAGAGTTGATAACAATTTTCATTTAACTTAGTTTGGGAAGAGTACAAATACAAATATCTAGAGTGCAAAATCTTATATTTTGTATTATTTTATATATTTATAGTGTACATATATGCATTTGAGACTGGATCTGCTCCTCACACACGGTGCTTCACAATGCATGGTAATGTGCCTGTGAAGCGCCCATGTGTGAAGAGAAGATCCCGTTCCCTTGTACTCTTTACAAACTGAACCTTATAGTTGAGAATTAGGATATGCTCCTCATTCACGGCACCTCACATGCATATTTCACCATGTATTGGGAATATCTCCAAGGTTCAAAGTATTGATACATATCGGCCCGTATCGATTGATATGTATCGTGTCGGTGGCTTCCCAATATGCCCCTACAGGGGGTGTATCGGGGTTCTGACCGGTTCAGGGGGTGGAGGAGCCTTAAACAGGCACCCCTGAATCGGTTTTGAAAAAAAATAAAAAAATGTTGAAAACACTATCGGTATTGCCCAATACGCCCCTATCGACGTATTGATGTTTTGAACCTTGTGTATATAAGTATGAGAGGTGTTCCCAATGCATGGTAGAGTGGAGGTGGGATCTGCTCCTCATGCAGGGCGCCTCACAGGCATATCCCATCGTGCATTGGGAACATCTCCGGTAAATAATAACACATTAGTATAGGAGATGTTCCCAATGCACGGTAGGATGTGCCTGTGAGGTCTGTATGAGGCATCCTGTGTGAGGAGTAGATTTGGTCTCTATAGGTGATGAGCGACGAATGATTGATGCGGATGTGATTAAAAATTAAGGGATAAGTAGACTGCACTCCTCAAAAATCTGAAATAACAGCCCCCTCCTAGTCTACTAGTAGTCCCCCTATAAACCTCATCCTGCCCATGAATTTAGCATCGATCCACAGTCAAGATTCATTCCACCTGTATGGTGGAGCTAAGATTTTTACGGATGGACAGAACAGTAAAAACCCCTAAAATTGAAGGGCTACATCACTCATCTCACACCACAGATGTTCCGTTTTTCTAGGATCCAGTTAGGGGTGAAAATGGTCCGATCCGAATATATATAAACAGGAATCCTGGACATAATTGACATTTTAAGGCCTTGGATGGTGTCGAAACAGGAATCCGAATATATATGAAATGATTCAGTCAAACAAGCACCATTACCAAAAATATTTATAAATTACAAAGAATGATAATTACCTCCCTAAATTTCCATTTGCAACAAAACCCCTTGGGACAGATACTCCCTGAACTTTCCATTCACGGGTCTTTGTTATACGTTAAATTAAGATTTTAATCAATTAATTATATTAAAGACTTTGATAGTCTATACTTGATATAAGGATACCTACCATCGAGACTTAATTACGTTAAAGATGTGAGCTATAATTCACTTGATTCTCAAGCATTTCTTACTGTTTGGTTCATCATAGATTTTGCTTAGACAGAATGACTCGGTGCTATGTGTCTGCGTTTGAGGGAATGTTTTATCAGTAGGCAAATGGAAATGGGTTACAGGACGGGGTATCTCAGATCCTAAGATTGAGAAGCTGTTTAACAATAGCGGCTCAGTTGGTAGATCTCAAACTCGTTGTAACAGAGGATTTAGTCTTCACAAGACTGTTTCCAATGCAAAACTGTAAGGAACTGTGCGAAGGGTGTTAGCACGGTCTTGTAAGCACTGAAGCTAATCTCATTGTAACATAGACATGGGATCAAACTCTACTGCCACCAGGGTTTGGGGGGTTAATGGGATGTATTCAATATTTTCTCAAGGGACGGGTTGTGTTCATTATTTATCTTTAATGGGTTATTGTAGTATATAATGCAGTGGTGAGAATTTTAGCCACATGTGATTAAATATCACATTCAATACATATGGGCTTGTATTGTTTTGATGCATATAAATACTTTAAACCTTGCTCGTAGGTGAGCGGTAGCACTGGGTACTTACTATTGAGTCTTCCTAGTCATAGTGCAACTTGGGTTGGCTCGATTTAGCATTTTACGCTGCTTTGGGCTTGGTCTTCAGTCTGAGCCCATTCAAATCTTGAAAAAAGCTCAACCCAGGCCCATCAAGTTGCATCTTTGTCCATTTGCCCGCGCATTGAACAACAAAAGCGAGTTCATAGAAAATAAAATGTGGATTAAACTCAAAATAACAAATAAACTTCACCTAAGTTTATTTCAATTTTTTTCATAACAGTATATAAAGTATTACCAATTACCATATGGTATTTGGTATCAGTATCACGACATAAAGAATCTTACATTTAAGGTTTAACATTTGCAGAATTAAAGAAATTTATGATAACCACGTGACCGGGTGGGGAAGTTGATGCTTCTGTCTTTCTCTCTTTTCCTCTCCTTTTTCTGCCTTGCTATTATATTTACATAAATTTCATAAGAATGATACAATTAACTTGTTAGCTGGCCACGTGGTAAATGTATAACACATTGATAGAAAAAGAGCGAATTTTAGGTAAAAAAAAAGGTTGGAGTCAACGAAAGGGGGAATAAAGCTCCACATTTATCAAAGTGAGAGAGAAAAATAAAAATTAAGAAGTTAGGATTCAAATTAAAATACCACCTATTTTCATAGATGGAGCACCCCTTTCCCTTTTTTTTTTTTTTTGTAGGGAGAAGAGAGAGCACCGCTTTGGGCTCGGATCTGCTACTCATTAGTTGTTCCCACATCCCTACCCACCATACATAACAGCTGCGCAATGGGAATATCTCCCTTTTCGTTCACAGGAGATTTTCCCAATATACGGCGGTGGTGTTTCGTGGGTATGGATGTGGAAACAACTAGTGGGTAGCAGACCCGTTAAAAAAGGCTCACCCCAAGTACCAACCAGTGGAGACACAAAAAGTACTACTTAGTAACTAACTAGTGGAAAAAGAGAGTTTTGTGGTTTGAGGAGGCACGGGTACGAACCCGAGGAAAAGAAATGGTAAGAGTAAATTACCTGTAAAATCCACTGCATCTTCTTTATTTATTAAGATTTAACGATCTGCTTCTCTGAAGAACTAATGAACAAAAGTTAATGGCTTTACAAGAATTGAAAAGAAATGGTACGTAACCCTTGCACCTTTACAAGAATTGAAATTTAATGGCTTCATGAAAAACAATAAAAAGAAATTACAAGGCTCAACTGTTGATCGACCGACCGACTTCCCAGGGTCGTAAAGAGATCTTCCTGGTTTCTACATCAACACCTCGTAAAAAAAAAATTAAGCAGGGATGTATACATACATTTCTAAGTAGAGCAGCAAATGATACAAGTAAGAGGTGACTGACATCATTCACAGCCAAACAACTCTCTTTCTCTCTCTCTCCATCAAAATCTAATCCGGGCTTCTATAATCCTATTTCTATCTTGTTTTCTTTGTATTTTCACTTTTTTCTGTTTCAAATAAAGGAGTGGTATCGAAGGAAATTAGTGGACTAATCATCATCATCGGGCAGCGAGGCAAAAGAGAAGGGTTTGAACTTGTATCCATCTCCATGGTAAAACTTGCTTTGGAATTCCACCCAATGGAGACGCAAGGCATGGAGAAACGCACTGAGTGTCTCCATCATGAGTAAGATGAAGGCTGTGGCAAAGGCAAAAACCACAAGCCCTATCAGTCGAATGAGAATGTTGTCATACCTGTCATCATCATCATCATCATTAGTATTAATAAGACCAAATGAAAATTTTAAAAACATGATAATTGCATATATGTAATTAGGCAGAGATCCCCCATCTCTACTCCCAAACAAAAAATGGGTCAATAACTTTGTATAAATTTTATTGATGATAAAAAGATATACGCTATCTATTTACAATACAACACCGACCTTGTAATTTCACAAATATTCATTTGGAACAAGCCCAGCGCAGCTCCTAACAGAGCCCCAAAAATACAGAAAATTCAATCCAAAGGATATCCACCCCACTTCAGATAGTCTGTTTACTCCATGAGCTAATGAGTCCACAAGCTAGCAGACTAGAGGAGCTAAGAAAACATTGCCTCCTGAATCTCATCTTTCAGCCAGCCACATGATGAAAACTTTCACCATTGGACTGATGTTAGATTGGAGATATGACAATATGTGGGTATGGGTACTACTATATTCCCTCTTTTGAAAGAAAAGTTCCCCCTAATTTAGGAGGCCCTTTATTGTATGGCTACCCTTGAAGAATCCAAAAATACTGTCAACATATGACTTCTTTTTTTCATAATATGTAATAACTCAAAATGTTTTTTTGTAAATAAATTATTCCAGAGCTGAATTGAAGACCTTACATCTGGTACTAATTATAATCAACTGAAGAAACCAACCTAACAAAAATACATTCTGCACCTATTTAAAGCTAATTAGTAATTGGTGACAAGTAACACATGACACAACTTCTGCCACAAAGTTGTACCATGTATGCAAATTGGCCATGACTTGCTAATATCTTGGTCTAGAAATGATCTTATGATTGTTAATTAGGCTAACAAAACAACCTTATACCACTGAATCAAGGAGATTGAGAGAAGTCCTGAAACCAGAAATCTGCAGTCACTAGTGACAGATTAGCAAGTTCACATCTTACCATTCTTCATAGCCTATATAGCATCATTACCATTTCTTGGGTTTTACTGCTTGCTGAAATACTGCAAGTTCACATCTAAGAATCGCATTAATAATTCTTATGCATTTTTTCATTATTCGATGTTCATCTAATTTGGATGGTACAAGTTATAATGACTTTTAAGATGTCATATGTCAAGCTTACTTTTCAGAATTCTGAAGAACCTAAATAACTGTTTCTGATAATTATAGGTGGTATTTGGCACAAAAACACAAAATATAATATAATATTATATTATAAGGACATCTGGAGGCTCAATTGGTAAGGTGACCTTGAAGTAGCTCCGATAGGTGATAAAATGAGAGAGTAGACTAAGATGGTTCGGTCACGCGCATAGAAGACCACCAAGAGCTCTGGTTAGAAGAATTGATTTGTTACAAGTTGAAGGGGGTAAAAGAACTAGGGGTAGACCAAAAAAGACATGGGTAGTAGTAAGAAATGATTTAAGAACTGATAATTTAACAGTGGATATGACTTTAAATAGAACAGAATGGGGAAACAGGATTTATGTAGCTGACACCATATAGTTGGGATAAGGCATGGATGATGATGATGATGCCTTGGGATCAAATCCCTCTGTCACCAGACCAGAGTTGGGAGGGTTATGGGTATGGGGAATGGGCTAACCCCCATTGTGTAGCTCCATGAAACAAAAGAAGAAGAAGAAAAAAATATATTTTATTATAATGGCACTGGATAGGACAAACAGAGTTGAAATGCCCCCGTATTTCCCCCAACACCCCATGCACATAACAGAATGCAAAGTGTGGTGTCTTGGCTTTAAGTTAAACCAAATAATTTTTGTACATTAAAGCCAAACCGCCAATGTGGAGTCAAAATGGAATGCAACACCCTGGTACCAAACGCCATCACAAGGAATGACATTATCATAAAAGGAGCTTTAGTCCAGAATAATAACCTTCAGAATACACTTCTTGTCTAGCTGAATTTCAGTTTCTATTATTTTTTTATGGTTTTTTTGCTTACACCATACATGCTCTAGCAATACATGTGTAACTCTTTCTAAATTTTTGTGAGGGTGTCTCACCCTCCTTATAGAACAATATTTTTTACCACTTGACACAAAAGGGAAAAAAAACAACCAGGATAAAGCATTTACCATTCCACATAACTAACATCAAGAACCTTACAGATCCAACAATCCACATATCATCTTTTAGTGTACACTCTGGGCATTTTTGCCTTTGTAGGCAGAACAGGTTTTACAGGGATATTAAGTTTATTATGTTTTGCATGCAACAGTTCTCCTTACCCCACACAGCAACTGCACCAACTTGGTCAAGTGACACTTGACAAGGCTAAATAACTAATTCTAAATCATATAAAAGGACACTATTGTTGTCCTTTTTTTCTATGAGTAACTGAATGGAAATTTCCAATTCACATGTAAAACAACCGAGTAACAACAGATTAGAAAATTTTGAAAAAAAAACAAAGTTTTGGTATAACGTTGGATAGAATTAGAACTCACCCCCAGGCTAGAAGAAGGACCTTCTCATAGAATACAGTTGACAGCTCTGAATGGGCCAAACTATTATAACATAAAGGTAATTAGTAAAACATTAGAAGTTTTAAAATGAAATTTTGATAGAAACAAAGCATGCCAGTACCTCAGAGCCCAGAGACGAAGATAAGAGGCAGTATTTGACACTGCTCCAAGGACAAATTCAATTGAATGTATCATTTGATGCACAAATACTTCACTGAAATTAAACTCCTCAAGATGTTGCCGTGCAGAATCAGGTTCACCATCTGGATCCATCTCAGAGGTGCCAAGCATTCGATATGTACGACCTTGAAATCTCTAGAAACATCATCAAAAATAAAATTGATGAGAGATCCATAGTTATCTAGTCTTTGAAGAAACTCAGTCTCAGTCACTGCTCCTGTGAAGAGATTACATGATTATAGTACAGGCTAGGGGTGCAGGCCAGAACACTGCTTTAAAGAATTTAAACTGCATCGGGCATGGGCACCCAGGCCTTCACGGTCCAGTTCGGTGCGGTTTGGAGAAGATCAAACCAGAAAATTACGGTTTGAGAAATTTCTAAACCGAACAAAACCGTTTTGGTATGGAACAAACTGTTTTATTACGGTTTGGTGCGGTTTCTAATATGGTTTGGGGACTTTGGACCATTCTATGGTTCTTTTGGGGTTAATCCAATTAGAAAGCCCAAATAGCTCCCCTAAAAATTAAAACTTAAAAACTTTTATTTATTACTTTATTATAAAATAAAGAGTTCATTATATATTTATAATTTTACACATTTCATTTAGATATATTATACATAATGTTTATATATCATATATTCATATATATATATATATGTATATAAAATTTCGGCTTACGGTTTACGGTTGGGTTTGGTTTATAAAATTCAATAAACCAAACTGAAACCGCAAACCACAATTTAGAAAATTCTCAAACCGAACCAAACCGTTTATAGGTATAAACCGAACCAAACTGCAAATTCAGTTTGGTTCGGTTCAGTTTTGCGGTTTGAACCGTATAATGAACACCCCTACTTAGGCTGGGCCCCTCAAAATTTTAACAAAACTCAACCTGATCCCACCCAAGTTGCACCAAGGTTCTAAATATCGATACAAGCCGATACACCAGTTGGAGCATACTGGCCTGTATCGAGCTGTACTTTTATTTATTTATTTATTTTTTCAAACTGGTTCAGGGGTGTCAGTTTAAGGCCTGTCTACCCCCTGGACCAGATCAGACCCTGAAACACCTACTGTAGGGGCATATCGGGATCGTATCGACCAATATGCCCCGATACTTTTCGATTTTTTAAACCTTGAGTTGCACCCCTAGTACTAGCAAAATATTTCAATTTCAAGCTCACCTTTGGATAACATTGCTCAAAAAAAAAAAGATTTTTAATTAACATAAAATTTCTACGATAAGCCAAAACTAGTTACTACCAGGAGTTCCTGATATACCATTGACGTTAGTCACAACCAAATAATTTGTTGAATTCATATGAGGACGGATTTTGTTATTAATTAATAGAAATATAACAGGCAGTTAAGTTAAAACATAACTTTTGCCAAGCCAAAACCATAATGGTTAACCGAGATAAGTTAACAAAGTACAAGGTCTCGAAAGGCAGAAACAGAATTACTTAGGTAGAGAAACATCAGAAAACATATTTGCTCTATGGGCTCCAGATTTTGCTAAGCTGTCAGCTATGATGTTTAATCGCCTAGGAATCCAAACCAGCTTCACATTCAGGGTATTTAGAATATCTCTGGCTTCAGCCAGCAGATGAGCAAGCCTCCAAAGGCCTAACATTTTGACGAAACGAAGACTTGTGAGGGCAGCTAAGATCTCTGCCTTGGTGGCATCAGCTCTCCCAATCAGACCACTTAAAACCCAAAGGATGTTTCCCCCACTCCCACAGATTACTCCTCCAACTCCTGCTTGACCTGTAGACCCTTGAGCACTGCCATCAAAGCTTAGAGTTAACTGGTTCTCCTCCCTAGGACAGGACGTTTGAGTAAAGCCAATTCCAAGGGAAGTGTAGAGGACTTCTTCCAGGTTTTTCTGAAGGTCATTTAATGTGGTGCCTTTGAAGACTTCAGAGTTTAGGGCCCAGCTGTTGCAAAGGTATGTAATGTGAGAGATTAGATCCTCAGTATTCTTGGCTTTGTTTTCAAAGGTTCTGTTGTTTCTTTCTTCCCAGACTCCCCATAACACTGCATGGGTCACCGTGCTCCAATAAAATTTGCCCCTACTTCCAAGGTCTTTGCAGTGCCATTTTCACAGAAGATCTATGACTTGGTTTGGGAATACCCATAACACTGCATGGGTCACCGTGCTCCAATAAAATTTGCCCCTACTTCCAAGGTCTTTGCAGTGCCATTTTCACAGAAGATCTATGACTTGGTTTGGGAATACCCATAACACTGCATGGGTCACCGTGCTCCAATAAAATTTGCCCCTACTTCCAAGGTCTTTGCAGTGCCATTTTCACAGATCTATGACTTGGTTTGGGAATACCTAGTTGAGTCCCACTAGACTGAGAAAGGAACACCAGATTTTCCTTGTTAATGGGCAGTGAAGGAAAAGGTGCTCCGCTGTCTTGCCATTATTGAGGCAGAGGGGCAAGACATGTGGGGAGATGCATCTGCCTCTGAGCTTCTTTTGTAATATATCTCAGGTATTTAGTTTCCTTGGGGAGGCCTCCCAAATGAAGAAGGAAACTCTAGGAGGTATATGAGTATTCCAAACCTTCTTGGCTGGGAAGGTGGTGTCTTGGCCATCTGAAACTAGAACCTTGAAGGAGTTGGTAGTGAACTTTCCATTTGGGTTGGGTTTCCAAATCCGAAGGCCGGGGGTTGAAGGGGAGATGTAGGCTTCACTGAGAGAGTTTACAAGATTTGTTATTTCTGTAAATTCTGCCTCTCTCAGTGGTCTTCTTAGATTCAGGTTCCAATTGTTTTCTAAGGGAGAGTAGCTTAGGCAGTTGGAAATACCTTTCCAAGGATTCAGGTTCCAGAACTTGATTTTATTCCCATTTCCCACCTGATATCTAACAAAAGCAATGAAAAGAGAGTAGGTAGAGGAAATACCTTTCCAAGGATTTGTTGCTTTTACTTGGGTCAAGTGAACCTTGTTATCCCAACCGTTGGCATCCCTCCCATACTTGCTGTTGATGACTAACATCCATGTTGCTTCAGGCTCAAGGGGATATCTCCATAACCATTTTCCAAGTAGGGCAACATTCCTTTCCTTGATGTGACCTATACCCAATCCACCAGCCTTCTTTGGCTTAGATACATGTCTCCAGCAAACTAAGTGGCTTTGTTTCCTTTTGTCTCTTCTTCCATCCCATAAGAAGTCACACTGTAGTTTCTCCAATTTGTTTATTATTTTCTGGAGGGGCTTGAAAGACCGAAAGGAAGTAAGATGGCAGATTGGATAGAGAGGCCTTGATTAACACAAGTCTACCACCTTTAGAAAGATAATTTTTTTCCAGGTTGCAAATCTTTTCTCACATTTCTCCAAAATCGGGTCCTAAAATTTCTGGTTCTTTGGGTTCCCACCTAGAGGCATTCCCAAGTAGGAGATGGGAAAGCTTTCCACTTTACACCCCAACAGCTCTTTAAACCTGTCAAGGAGGGAATCTTCCACATTTAAACCTACTATGCTGCTCTTTGAGTAGTTGACTTGGAGTCCAGTCACCAGTTCAAAGCATTTTAAAACTTGTTTAAGATTAAAGATGTTTTCCTTTTCAGCTTCCAAGAACAAAATTACGTCATCTGCATACATTAGATGAGACACTTGACGCCTTTCCCTTCCAATTTCAAAGCCTTTTATAAGGTTCAGAACTTTCACCTTCTCTATCAAGAAGCTGAAGATGTCGACTACCAATGTGAAAAGTAAAGGGGAGAGAGGGTAGCCTTGTCTTAAGCTTCTATTAGCTTTGAAGTAACCAGCTGGTTCTCCATTTATCAGAACTGAAAACCGGGCAGAATTGATGCAGCCCTTTATCCAGCTGACCGACTTACTCCCCAATCCTCTCAGATGAAAAATTTCCAATAAGCATTCCCAGTTCACTTTGTCAAATGCCTTCTCCAGGTCCAGCTTCAATAAAATCCCTGATTTTCCTCTTTGGTTGAAGTCTTCTACACATTCATTAGCCACTAAAACACTGTCAATAATCTGCCTCCCTTCCACAAATGCGTGTTGGTTGTTTGAAACTAATTCCCTAGTCACCTCCTTCAACCTAGTTGCCAGGACTTTGGCTAAGATTTTGTATAAACTCCTCAGCAAGATAATTGGTCTGAAGTCCCTTACTTCCAAAGTGCCCTCTTTCTTAGGAACTAAAGTAATAAAGGTGGAGTTGTTTCCTTTATTCACAACTTCTGACTGATAGAAGTCTGAAAACACCTCTAGAAGGTCTGATTTTAAGGTATCCCAGCAAATGTGATAGAAGAAAATTGGGAATCCATCTGGCCCGGGGGCTTTATCACCTTCCAGATTAAATACTGCTTTCTTCACTTCTTCCTCATCAAAAGCCCTCTCTAACCAGAACTTCTTTTCCTCTATTAGTTTAGGGCCATCCCAGTTAATCAATACAGCCCTATTGTGCTCCTTCTTTGAGTACAACTCCTTGAAAAAGTTCACTATAACATCAGCAATTTCCTTTTGATCTTCCACTTCTATCTGCCCTACCTTCAATTTTGAGATAAAGCTTTTCCTCCTTCGCCCAGAAGCATTACTATGAAAGAATTTGGAGTTGTTGTCTCCCTCCTTCAGCCATAAAACCCGAGATCGATGCCTCCAAATGATTTATTCCCTCCTCCCAAATTGCTCCCATTTCTTTTTTAATTCTGCCCTTCTTTTCCTACCCTCTCCATCCAGACCTCCACTTTGCTCCTTTTGGTCTAAGTTATCTAGTTCCTGGATCACCTTGTTCTTTTTCTCTGCATGTAATTTAAGTTCTTCTTTGCCCCAAGTTTTCAATTTTCTCTTTAAATACTTTAGCTTTTGTAGGAAACGGAAGCCTGCCCAGCCACCCACTCTGCATTCTTCCCACCAAGTAGCAACCTTTTTTATGAAACTCCCTGTGGGTGGTTAGGACTTTCTCAAGTCTGAATGGGGCCTTTACTTTCCTCATTACCTCATTTTGGAGAATCACTGGTCAATAGACCTGCATTTAAGGTTCAAAATATCGATACGCCCAATACGCCGGTAGGGACGTATCGGGCGAATCGGTACTGCATTTTTATATGTTTTTTTATTTTTTTCGCAACTGGTTCAGGGGGGCCGGTTTAGGCTCCTCCATCCCCTGAACCAGTCAGACCCCCGATACACCCACTGTAGGGGCGTATCGAAGGGGTCCTGGAACGATACGTATCGGCCGATACGTGTCGATACTTTGAACCTTACCTGCATTAACATACTTTAACCACCTAAATTTCACCCCTGTTTCATATCTGTTTCAAATTCTTGTCCAATTGATGTATGATTTGGGGAATTCAGAATGATCTGGAAGTTTATTTTCGGCCAGTAACAAAGATGAAGGGATAAGTTCAATGGGTAACTTGAAGAAACATGATAGATTTGGTCCAAAGGTCCAAAAGGCATAGATAATGCCACTAGGCCTGTCAACAGAGTCCGAAAGTTCAACACCCAATCCAAAATCTGATCATTTTAAGATCCAAGTCTGATCCTATTAAGTTTATAATTAATAGATTTATTAATTTATATTTATATAAATTCATTCCACATGCATAATTTAAAAAGTGTTTTTTTTTTAATTTTTTAGATTTTATTTATTTTAAAGATAATTAAGCAGGCTCAGATAAATCCAAATTGGATTTAAGGCAATGTGATTACAGCCCTAAATGCCACACACCAGATGAAAACCGAGGAAAGAGTAGTAAGGCAAAGGATAAAACAAACAAAAGAATCAGAAAAATTCTTATATTATATGAAAGGTGCAGCACAAAATGAAGGTAACTTGCAGCATACCTCTAAATGCTGTTTCCTCAAAATAAATGGTTTTGGAAGGAGCATCCAAGGAACAGCAACAATAGCCAAAAGCAACAACAAGATCTGCAAGAAAGATTTAGAATGGATCAACCAACCAAAGACTAGAAACAAACGATGGTGGTGGGTGAGGAAGAATAGCACAGAATACTTTTACAACTAGTGAGAAGAGTACAGCTAATACCTGCAGTGGTCTTTGGCCCCAAAACAACTGATTCTCACCAAGATTGTCCGTGGGGCTCAAGAACATGTAAATCATAACATGGTAAAGATCTGCTTGAGACCCTGTGTACCACTTGATGACAATGAGGAGGGAAAGATACCCAAAGAGACTGTTAAGAAATATCATCTGTGGCACAAATTGATACCTACAACCAGAGAACCAAACAAGATTTTAAGTTTTTTCTAATGTTTTTAAGCCAACCCAGAAATGGAGCCATTTTTCAGTCCAGGTGGTGGGTCAGCAGTTAAACCATCTGGATAGTATGGGTCAACATGTGATGTCATAAATTAAATTAAATATATAAAAACAGATAAAATATAGAAAATTACACAAAATATGTAGAAAAATTGGGCACACCTCTAATATTATATTCTTCATATCAAACAAAAATAAATGCAATAAAAGAAAATTATTTACTAATATAAAATAACTAAAAAGACAAGAAATGTTTGACCTGTGGCCTATTGATCAGGTCAAGCGGTTTAGCAGTTCAACCAACCAGGTCATGGGGTCATTGACCATTTTTTTTCTTCCGAGCAATTTGTGGATGAAACGGACCCAGAAATCTGGCCCGGTGATGGGTTAAAGTGGCTGTTATCAGATACCTTTTCCCTCACACTTGTCAGCCTGAGATTTTACCATTGTATCAAGGAATGGCTCCTATTTTTAATAGTATAATTTATCATAATAACAAAATAACAGGGCTTTATAAAGAGGACTGACATTTTATATAGATTGTGTTTCACTTGTTACCTTTTTTTTGGTGGGGGGGGGGGTGAGAGGACTAACAAACTTTTGGCTCCTTGTTGAAGTAAGAACTTCACATTTCAAAACTATTATCATGGATTGCAATGAAGAAAGAAGTGATGCATAAAGAAGAAATGGGTCAAACCTGCAAATTGTCTCCTCACTTTTTGCTTACAATTACAACTGAGGGCATTTTACTTACCCCCTTTTGTGGTTAGATTAAAAAGACATTACCCAATATTGGTCCCAGCTATTTGGGGCCTTGGGAGGGATGACTGGATATAGTCATAACCTTTGGCAGTTTTTTGGTGGTTAGATTCAGGAAAATAAATCATAAATCTTTATTAGTGTAAAACTTAATGTTAGGGTTCCTTTTCTCCCCTTTTATGGTCCCTTTTTGGATTTAAACCAGCATACTGTGGTTATAAAGCACAATACTGGTTTCAGTCTTGGTTTATAGAGAAGCCTTTCTTTCTTCTTTGTCAATTCCTCTTTTTTTTTTTTTTTTTTTTTTTGGTGGTGGGGGAGGGGGATTCCTCTTTCTCTACTTGCTTTAAATAAATAATGCAAAGATTATAAGAAAACATCTTTTTATTGGTCTCTTTCATCTATACTGATCTTTTTTTAGTGGGAGGTGTAATGCAATAATGAAGATTATAATTTTTGTTTTGGCCATAGTCAAAACGATTGCAAGGTATGGGGAGTGATCTGGGATATCCCATTTTTGATAAAGGGGACAGACCCCTAATCATTACTCAAAGAGTACATGTTTTAAGAGACAAAAACTTCTCCATGTTTTGACTCACAAGCAGTGGTTACTTTGCGTTTTAACTAGGGATGTGCCCTAATCACTCCCCTTTCAAAATTACAGCATTTTCATAAATTTATTTTTTACTTAAAGTATTTACATGACCTCAATTAAACTGTTGAACTATGAATGGGGGTGATCATGGGCCAGGAAGGTCCAGATTTGTAAAGGTCAAAGGGTAGGTTGGTTCTAAACATATGGGTCCAGGTTCAACTAGCCCAATCACCCTCTTATGTAATAAGTGCCCATAGCTCAGCCATAGAGCATAGAGGCCACCAGTTTCAACCAAGGTTCTAAATATCAATATAGGCCCAGTTGGGGCATATCGGCCTGTGAGCTGCGCTTTTTCTTGGTTTTTTTTACTGGTTCAGGGGGTTGGTTTAAGGCCCGTCTACCCCCTGAACCAGGTCAGACCCCGAAACACCCACAGTAGGGCATATCGGGGGTTGCCGATATGATATGTATCGGCTGATACACCCTGATATGTTTCGACTTGTTGAACCTTGGTTTCAACCTTGCTAGTAGGAATGAGCATTATTTGGTTAATTAGGTTTTAGGGTATTTCAGTTATTGGTTTCAGCTTTCAGATTTGAAAATTCGGTTAACTGAACCATAAGAAATTCGGTTTGGTTATTTCAGCATTGCCTTAATACAGTTTTGGTTTGGTTTTCCCTCTAATAATTTCGGCTAATTTGGTTTCGGTTTTTAACTGAATCTGAATAAACTGAGTGCTCACCCCTACTTGCTAGACCCAAAATAAGAAGTTTTATATTTATCATACATGGCCAGGGCTGACTGGTTATGATAAGTGGGCTTAGTATTCAGATTCTTAAGTGGGCAAAATGTTGATGAAAAACATCTGTTATTTATAATAAAATATATGCCACACATGACAAGGCTTTGAAAACCGGACCATGCATTGAATTGGAAAGGTCTCCAATTCATGCTTCCATTGGTTCAACCATGTTATGGCTGCATAATACTACACTGACAAAATAAAAGTAATAAGAAAAACAGGTCAGTCTGGTCCAGTTTTCAAAACATAGAACGGATTGGCGAAACAGGATTCATGTAGCCGACCCCATATAGTTGGGATAAGGCATGAATTATGATGATGATATATATATATATATATATATAATATAATTTATATGTCAAATATGTATATATTCTAGGCCAACTAGACATTCAGATTTGAAGCTTGGACACAACTTGTCTGATCTTGGGGCCTAGTGCCGATCTGAGCCATCATGATCTTCTGTTATATGGGTGATTCGTGGGTTCTCCCATTTTAATCTCAATGTTTTTGCAAAACTATTGCAAAAAGAAAGTTATGCTAATCCTATAATTTTCTTTTTTTTTTGTCTTGGATTTTCAGGATTTTCATAGTAATGACCTGACTTCCATAGTATTACAAAGTTTTGATGAATTTCCACAAATTATTCTTCTACCCTGGGGATCTCGGTTGCGCCTACATCTAAGTTAGGGAAAGAGATGAATTTTTAGTTAAAAAATTGAAAAGGAAATAGGATGGGAATTAAAGGGAAAAAATAGTACAAACCTTATATCCAATGAACTGCCAAAGAACCTTGCATTGAAGTAACTCAAAATTATCCCTAGGTTCATTTGAGATACACCTAACAAAATAGACATTTTCATTTTGAGAGAATTGAGGAAAGGCAACTCTGAACGACTTCCACGCCAGCTAGGATCCACACCAAATGGATATGGATCACGGTACTTGACTAGACCAGCTGTATGTGCATCCCTGATTAAAACACAGTAACTTATCTGTTATGCATAAAGCAGAGAAACCCTTATTTTTGAAAAAAAAAATCTCCAATATAGTGTAATGACAGTACATAACATCAACAAATCAAAATATTGTGAAGCATGAAAGAGTACATCTAAAGGTCAGTGGGTAAATGAGCCAAAAAAATGCATACTAAATAGATAAATTGATGCGAGGAAGGATTAGGGAAAAAAGAAAGAAAAAAATAATTAGTCATTTGCAGGTTTTATAGAAAAAAACAGAACGAACTAGTAAAACCATTTAGTTGCAAATTACACCAGCAATCAATCTGAAATTAAAACAAAAGAAAAGAAAAAGGGTGGAAGAATAATAAGTTCAGAAAGAGATTCAGAAGAAGGAAGAGAGAATGGAAGAAAGGATAGAGGAAGAGAAGTGATAACATCTCTCTCTGTCCCTCTATTGAATTATATATGCTGAATATTAAAAGATAGAAAATTACTTGGGTGCCCCTAGTTAGGCGGCTGACTCAAAGAACATAAGAAACAATAAGTGTTGAGGCCCATTAAGAAGGCCCACTACAACTGAAATAAAACTACTGAATAAATAAATAAAACTAAGGCCCATTTGGCCCAATCTCTCCACACATTTGATTTTGAATAACTTGAAAAGTAACTGGAAAAGCCATATGCAGATATTCACAAACTGATTATGCTCAGAAATAGACTCAAAGGAAAGCAAATACTTCAATAAAAATGAAACAAATGTCTGATAATAGTATTAGAATTATAAGCTCCTGGAAACAACAAATTAATATGAAATAAATAAATAACTGCAGGTATGTATAATCATTTATACCTGCTTATGAATGGCATATTGCTTATAGCTGAAACATACACCAAAAAATTCCAGAAAAAGAGTTAACCTGTCCTCCATATTTTGGCATCCAACATTTCTCCAATCAGGAGTGGAGTATGTTAAATAATAATCAGTTTTGAATTCCTTTCCGCTCACATAAAGGACCTGTTTACTTTCTATGCTTAAGCAGGCCTTTTATTTGATAGGTAGCAGAGAATATATTGACAAATATAAATATATTGTTACATAGGAGCAAAACCAAGTAAAAGATATTTAAAGAAACTCCCAAAACATGCCACAATCAAGTGCCCAACACCTCCCTGTACCAATAGAATTCTACAGAACAACCTCCCCCTGGACAAAACAGGGAAGATCATAAGCAGGAATAAGAAATAGATCAAGCTCAAAATGCCCCCATAGAGGGGAGGAAGTATGTTTTTTTTTGCACGGTTTGATAGAAACCTTGTTTTGGTATATTTAGGAGTAAAGGGACAGCAGGATTTTATCAGAAAAAGAAGCAAGAGTGCCTAATCAAGCTTACCACTATTAGAATGGCATTTTGGTAAGGGAAACTCTATCAGAGGTCCGTTATTATTTCCATAGGATTTGAGACTGAAACACTAGTTGGGTTTCTAGAGAGTGGTGGAGGGAGAACCCTTGGTGATAAAACTGATGAGAGATAAAGGTACCAGCTGGTAGGTAAGGTTGGTGGTGGTGTAGTTTCCACTGACCTGGGATTGGATACAACCTTCACTCTCGCTGGTCCCACTTCCAAATTTTCCTAAGCAAAAAAGAAATAACGGTGACAAGCACCTAATCAATCTTATCACCATTAGTGTGTCATATTGATGTAGGACCAGCTCAGTTCTAGTCCTTAGAGAATGTTGAATGATCTTCTTGATCAGAGTTTTATGGCTGTTTTTTTTTTTTTTTGATAAATGAGTTTTATGGCTGTAATGGCTTCTTAAAGAAATAAGAGAGAAAATAGGAAGAGAAAGAAGAGAGAAATACCTGGAATCACTCATAGGGTGCCTAGAATCACTCTAGGGCATGGGAATCACTCAGCATAGCTAGCATAAGCTGAAGAAAACTCAATATAATTCATTGCTTTTGTGTAAAACGTCCATACATATTTATAGACTCAGATTCATAATAGTCTTAGGAGTCAAATTGTTAGACTCAATAATCCTAGTAGGACTCAAACTAAGTTGTCATATCATATCCTATTTCAATTCAAAGAAGACTCAATAACTCTAATCCTACTTATGCAATGACAATGAAATTTTAAACATAAATAAACTATAACTAGAAAAATTAAACCCTATCATTGGACCCCCACAGAAAATTGCAAAATGACAAAAATACCCCTATTATCCAAAAATACAGAAATACATAAAATTCCAATTTTGCCTCTTCAGCTCCTGCATCATTTCCCCCCTGTTCAAAAAAACTCGTCCTCGAGTTTTGAAGAACTTGAGGATGAAAAGTTGATGTGCCCCAATTACAGAAGTAAGACTTCCCACATCTACATGCTTGGACTGTAGAGTAGAGGCCACACACAGAACTAGAAAAGGATCTTGAAAGAAACGTATTTCTGAAACACTGCCTTCCATAACCATCTTTGTTAAATCATCAATAGTATTAGTTTCTTGAACACTTAATTCATCAACTAGCCTTTGTGATGAATCTTCCCCTTGATTATCCAAATTCTCAACTGCAACATTTGAAACTTTTCCTTCAACTTCTACTCTAGGACTCCTTCCATTGTTGATGTTGGTGGAATTTCTGCTATGTGAAGTTGTAATTCTTGAATTAGTTCTAGTAGAACTTGTAACATAAAGTCACTTACTTCCATACTAGGATCTATCACAATCAACACACATTTGTATCTTGCTCCTGAATTTCTTTAACTTGCTCCACTTCTATTTCTTCTTGACCATTGACCTCAAGCTGATCATGAGCGTTGGAAACTCCAACAATTTCTGTTTTTTCTTGGACTGCACCCTCTTGATTTTTAATATCTACAACTTCTTTAGCCTGAAATTCTTCTTCTTTAGCTTCATCCTCAACTTCAGCTCTTGGATAGGCTTCAACATGCAAGGAATCATCTACTTTCTTTTCAACTTTGTACCTTCTTCCCATTGACTTCAAGTTCTTTCATGTAACCTGCCGCTTCTTCTCTTGCTTGAAATTAGTCGACTCCATATATAGATCATAATGGAAGTCCAATGGGGTGTACTTTTCTTGCAAACACCTATTCATTTTTGCCCATGTACTAATGGGATCATCACCTCTATTTTCTAATCGTTGCTCAAGAGTTCTCCACGATACTTTAGCATGACCTGTCAATTTCATGCGTGCAAATCTAATCCTTTGTTTGTCAGACATATCATGCCAATCAAAATATTCTTATAATTCAGCAACCCAATCAAAGAATGCTTGCGGATCATCATCTCCTTTGAAATCTGGTATTTCCCTTTCTCCTCTAACATGTTTGAAAACTTTACTCCTGTAGTAAACATTCTTAGATCTGTTTTCTTCCAGCATCTTCTCAAACAAGTCAACCAAAGACCCTTCATATGGTTCAGAAACCCAATCATCATTGATTCTAGACCTGTAAAATTGTTTAGAAATACCCTAGGCCTATAGAATCGGCCACTTTGTGAGAACATAGTGAATAAACCATTAGCTCTGATACCAACTGATGTAGGACCAGCTCAGTTCTAGTCCTTAGAGAATGTTGAATGAACTTCTTGATTAGAGTTTTATGGCTGTTAATGGCTGTAATGGCTTCTTAAAGGAATAAGAGAGAAAATACCTAGAATCACTCTAGGGCATGGGAATCACTCACCATAGTAGTATAAGCTGAAGAAAACTCAATATAATACATTGCTTTTGTGTAAAACGTTCGTACATATTTATAGACTCTAAACTCATAATAATCATAGGAGTCAAACTGTTAGACTCAATAATCCTAGTAGGACTCAAACTAAGTTGTCATATCCTATTTCAATTCAAAGAAGACTCAATAACTCTAATCCTACATATGCAATGACAATGAAATTTTAAACATAAACAAACTATAACTAGACAAATTAAACCCCATCGTTGGACCCCACAAAAAATTGAAAAATAACAAAAATACCCCTATTGTCCAAAAAATACAGAAATACATAAAATTTCATAAAATTCCAATTTTGCCTCTTCAGCTCCTGCATCACATATTGGTGAAAGGAACTCTATTAGAGGAAAGCTGTTACCTCTCTTGTAACAACTGAAAGTGATACACTCTTTTGGTTAATTGAGAGTGGAAAGGAAGGGGGATTCCTAGGTAGTGAAAAAATGGATGAGAGACAGTAGCAAGAGTCCTTGGATCTCTAGTCGCTAGCATGACATCCATCATTCTACTTAAGAAACAATAGATCGACCAATGAATTAACAGATTCATTTGCAAGGAGCAAGGTTGATAGGGATAAGACATAATGGGATCTCTTCCCTTCTGATTTTGATTCTATTAGAAATTTCATTATCTATCAATGAGTATAATGCTCCGTTGTCACAGGAGTAACTATTTACTGGAATAAGTTGGGTTCGGTGGAAGATGGAGAAAGTGGATCAAAGGTTGTATCAGTTCGGGTCATTTCTCAATACTGATCAATGGAGTGGCTAAAGATGGGCCCCCCACAAGATGTGGTTAGCTTATTCAGTTCTAATTTTTTGTGGCAACAAAAAAAGGGCAAAATGCTTATGGAAGGTAACAAGAGCAGTTGTAGTTTGGACCATCTGTGAAGAAAGAAATCAAAGGATTTTCAATGAGAAGAGTAAATCTAAATAGGAGGTAATTGAAACAATTAAAATCAGATCTGCACACTGGGTAAAAACTGTTGATATCTTCAAAGATATCTCAACAAGTGATATAATGAGGAAATGAAAGGAAGTGGCACAAATGGGAATGCATAAAGAAATTACCAAGATAGATTGGAAACCTCTAGAGTCAAATAAATTGAAGTTGAATTTTGGTGGTAGCTCCCTTGGAAACCCTGGGAGAGCAGGAATAGGGGGAGTCTTTCAAAATCATCATGGAGAAGTTGTGGCTTTGTTCTCAGGACCAATTGAGTATGGAGACTCAGTTCAGGCAGAGATAATGACACTCTTACAAGGCCTGGAATAGTAGAACAATTAGAAGCTAGAGAATTGGAAGTGGAAGGAGACTCACTTTTGGTCATTTCTTGGGCTAAGCAAGTAAACTCAGCACCCTGGAAGTACAGATTTGCATTCAGGGAGATTGAACTTCTTGCTAAGATTTTTTACTCTACATTTTGGTGGGTTAAAAGGACAGCAAATGGATTGGGAGATACTCTAGCAAAACAGGGGGTTTATAGACCTACTCTATTTTGGGCAAAACTGTAGCTGGCTGTATTAAACCAAAGGGATGCTGATCCATGTAATCTGGGACTTTTTGTATATTGCTATACTCTGGAATGCAAAGCAGCTAAAGAAATTGTAATCTGTTATTTAAATTAATAAATAAATTCTCCTTTACTGATAAAAAAATATGGAAATGTATATCCACAGAAGTTAAGAAGCATGTAAATAATGTAGCAGGTAAAATAGAATAAAAAGTGTTGTTGAATCCAATCTCCGATCAATGTTTTCACTTTGATGTTCATTAAAGCAGTAGGTGAAAAATATGGACACAATCTTCTTTTTCTTTTTTGAAAAATAACATGGGCACAATCTTGATGTATAACATTTTCTAAAATTTTGAATATTGATAATATGATGGTAGTGCAATGACAGTTTTGATTCTATTCTAAACCTTAAAAAAAAAAGCAAACAAACTATACCTGCATGTAGTATCCCGACATTTGTAAGCAGTCCCACCAAATATATGATAGGGAACAGAGAAGAATTCATTGTAAATCAAGCCACAATAGATAGAAAATAGTGACATCAAAAGGATTACATAGCGCCCACCAAAAGCCATCTCCATAAAGCTGCCTAGTTTCTGGAAGGAACAAGGATATGCAAATGTAAACCAAAATAGAAGTATAAATCTCCATCTTTGGTGTGAGCAAATACTAAAACAAATTAACATTATATGCATGCAATATTTCTCATGCAGACTTTTCTACTTGCAAATTCCTTAATGCAAAAATCAATTGTAAGAACATGAATGTCAAGAAATCAACACTTTAGGCACTTCCAAAGTTTCAATATATAAGGCAGCAGTGGTAGAAAACATCCTTTCTAAGGTAGAGTTGTTTAAAAGGTATGGTTTAAAAAATTTAATTGTATATATGCCCAACAGACAACAAGTCATGCAAGAATTTATACTGAAAAGAAAGATGAGCAAGCATATAAAGAAGCAAGGGAAAATGAGAAACTACCATGAAACCTGTAGGCTGAGCTAAACAGTCTCCCTATACAGCCTCTAGAGATTAAAAACTCTTGCTTATCAAATATGGCTGAACTAAAATATAATCCATTTCTACTTTTTTTTATCAATAACAGGAATCCATTATCTCAAAGAACCATTCAACCTAAAAGCTTAAGCTGTTAGGTGATGAGGTCCTTGAATAGGTTGATATTCTCTAACACGCCCCCTCACACGAAAGCCCATTGGGCTTGAAGCGTGAACAAGCACAGGCCCACTCATACCTTGTGCTGAAACTTATTTAATTATAATGGGGGTAACGAGCATCGAATACTAGATAGGTTGGTCAAAATGGCTCTGATACCATCTCAAAGAACCATTCAACCTAAAAGCTTAAGTTGTTAGGTGACGAGGTCCTTGAATAGGTTGATATTCTCTAACACATTAGATTAATAAAAAATGTAGTTACAGCACTCTAAGGAGAGATAAAAAGGCTTAACTCTCTCTAGGAGGACAACAAAGAAAAAATTGCAGAACAGCCCAAAACATTTGATCCTTTCCCACACCCCTTGCTTTGCCAAGGCATCAGCAAAAGCATTTGCTGTTCTCTTAACCCACTGAAAATGGATTTCCAGCCCTCTAGTTAGCCACTTAATCTTCCTCCTCTCATTAGCAAATTACCAAAGTCCACTCTTTTTCTGTAGCCAGCTTAACACCAGCTTTGAGTCCCCTTCAACGACTAACTTTTGTAATATTCAGTTCCTTAGTCTTTAAGAGAGTCCCCTCCAGTAAACCCACTGAAAATGGATTTCCGGCTCTCTAGTTAGCCACTTAATCTCCCTCCTCTCATTAGCAAATTACCAAAGTCCACTCTTTTTCTGTAGCCAGCTTAACACCAGCTTTGAGTCCCCTTCAATGACTAACTTTAGTAATATTCAGTTCCTTAGTCTTTAAGAGAGTCCCCTCCAGTACAGCATAGATCTCAACTTTAAGAGAGTCCCCAACCCCAATGGAACCTGAATACATTGCAATCACCCTCCCATCCTCATCTCTGAAGACCCCTCCTATTCCTGACAGAACACACAGGACAAACAGAAGAGTGAGTAGGAGCAGAATTTGCCACCTCCATCCAGCTATTCAGCAACATTTCTACTTATCACACTCATACTAGGAATTATCTATTTAATTAGCTGATACTCCCATCCTGAGGAATGATATATTCCCTCTGGCAACTGATGATCTGACATCTGGTGTTTTCTTCCATCTTTCAACCATCACACTACCACCTGGCACCCCCTTCCATCTTCCGATACAGAACCACCATTCACCAATCCCCATTGATCCATTATAAACTTGAAGAATCTCCCCCCTAGTGGATTTGGGATACCTTTCCAATGCCTTAAGGTCCTGAATTTCCTGAAGAACAGCCATCCAAAATTTTTCCTTGGGAAGAAGGTTCCATAGCTGATAAAGACATTACTAGAAACAGAAGAAGATATGCAAGTCCAACATCTTACTCTATTATATGTGCTGAATTCTCTAACTCCTTTTGTCCAACCTCATGAGCCAGCCAAATGGTAATGATATATATATATATACATATATTTGATGAATTACAGAAAATAAATACAAGGTTTATGTACAAATCCAAATCCATTTCAATATTACAAGCAAATTTAATTGAGCCAGCCTCTTGCTGCTCCCCCAAAACATAAATATCAGATGCCCAAGTTCCAATTTCAAAGGGTCATTGCCCCATACCAGGGACTGTCTAGTAACCTTTTCCCTTGCTAAAGAATCTGCAATGGAGTTAGCAGATCTAGGGACTGAATGTATTTCCACCTGAAGGGCCACAATTAAAGACCTGGCTCTCTAATTTAAATTTCTAAGTCACCAAGGATCTTCTTGATTGCCTTTCAGACAAGCAACAATCTTGATATTCTTGCTAGACTGAGTCTAGCGACAATCAGCTCTCTGATTTCTGATGTTCTTTCTAGATCGAGTCCTTGAAGAGCCGCCATCAGTTCAGCTCCAATTGAGTTGCCAAACCCAACAGGTCCAGAAAACACCACGAAAATGGTATGATCCTGATTTCTAAATACACCTCCAAACCTTGATTGTCCAGGATTTTTTTTTTTTTGATCAATAACTTGATTGTCCAGGGTTTCCTAGACTGCAACTATCAAAATTCATTTTTATTTTGTTTGTATGGGAGCTGTTGAAGGATGATGTACTATATTCCACTGTATAGGGAATGATGCCACTGCCTCCTAACCTCCAAGGATATCAACCGTGTACATGGAGATTCCTGTCTTGTCTTCACCTAATGGATTACTCCATTTTTTTATTTTGATAAATTTCTTGTTTCAATTATTTGTATGATGTTTCTCTGAATTGCTACTTATTCAAGAATATCCTAGTATTCCTTTCCTCCCAAATGGACCTTATCACTGCTGGCACTTATGCATCTCCAGAGAATTTTGCCTCTTCTTTTCGGAGGCAAGAAAAATGACAGAGAAAATAAAGTTGCCATACTTTCATAGGAGAGCACCTAGCACCAAAAAGATCAAGAAAATGCTCCCACACACTGCACAGAAGATTAGTAAGTAATTTATGGATTCTTCACTTTCTATGCAAAGGAGACAGATATGGATTGATAATGTCCAAGATGGACTTTTCTGCAATATTTTGCAGGCATTTATCATTACATGGGACACTTCCAAATAGAATGCCTAGTTTTAGGAGGCATTGTGCTTGCCCAAATTGCTTTTATAGGAAAGTCAAGAGAGGGCTGCTCGGAAGAAGCCAAGTCACAAGTCCTTAAAGAACAAAGTACAAGAGAAGGTACTATTTTGATCGGTGCCAGATTCTTTGGTCAACTCTATTCTCATCCAAGAATACCCCATCAAGGAGCTGTGTTAGAGTTGGCCGAGTAGGGGTAACTTAGTCTTCTTCATTTTACTTTAAGTGGTGACTTGGCAATATTGTTTTATTTTAAATTTCTTGTCCCATACGTAAGTAGGGGCATATTTGACTCTGTACCCTTAATGAATATAATAAAGGGAGAATGACCATTCAGCCCAGTGTCAGAATTCATAGGCCCAAAGTACAGTTGGGGTAGGTGCCAGCTCGGAATTTATGCCAATTCATGGGCGGGCGTGGGTGCATAGAGTGTGGGTTTTTGACCTTTTGAATGTTTATAGATTTGCAGTGGAATTCAGAAATCTGCATTAGGCCTTTCGTACTTTTCCATATAATAAAAGGTTATGGTCGACTAGGAGGGTTAGGGTTTAGACTCTCTAGTTCGACAGATTTCTCTCTCTCTCTCTCTCTCTGTATATATATATATATATATATATATATATATATTTATCTCTATCTCTGAACAGAACTTGTTTGAACCATCAAAACAAGCTGAAACAAAAATATAACCTTAGAGGTTTCATGGTCTCTAAGTCCCTTCTGAAATCCCAGGTCCCAAGAAGATGGAGAAGATCCTAGGGCCACAAATTGAGAGATAGGTATGTTTTTATAATTTGAGATGGTATGAAGCCAGAAGTCCACTACAAATCTTCCCAAAACTTAATCTGATTCCCCCTCCCAGGGTCATATCTAATAAATCTGAGTAAACATTCAAGATTTTTATGGACTTTCCAAGGGTATAAAAGGTTATCTCATATGTCTACCTCGGCATCCCACCCATAAGGACGCCACCCATGAATGCTTTTGATTAGAGAGTGCCACAATTTGTCAGAGTCAATGGGATATCTTATTCCTATTTGTATTACCCAGACCTAAACCACAATCCTAATGAGATGATACTTCTTGTTTTCTTCCCACCAAAAAAAAAAAAAACTTATTGTCTTCCCCAAACACGCACAAATTTTTACCAGTGCTTTGAACACGGAAAGAAAGCAAACAGAAAGGTTTGAACACAGAACCCCCTATTTGCTAATATTGTTCATTCATTCAAAAAGATATTTTTAAAAGACAATTAAAATTCTAAAATCATTTTTTTGTAGGGATTAAGAATTTAAGACCCTAACGTGGATTTATTTGGGCTTGCCTCAATGGGCTTGGAACAAAGGCAGCTTGAAGAATTAGGAACGAAAGATGTTTAACATCATATTATTTATTTGAAATAATGCAATTTGGAAAGAAATAAAGAAATTGAAAGTTTGACATGCTTGAATATGTTTTATATGCTATTTTTTTATTTTATTTTTTGCATTTTTATATGTTATGTTTATGTATTTTAATTTTAGGTTTCTTAAAAAAAATAGTTTAAAATTAAAGTGTGATTTTTTTAATTAATACTACTTTTTATATTTTTTGCAATTCTTTATTTTTTTTATTTTGTGCCTTGCTTCAGAAAAGGTGTGCACCTCACCTTGCACCTCAGGCACAAAATGGCCTTTGCACTTTTAAAACACTGGTAGCATATTTAGTTATTTACAAACCAATGATTAAAAGAACTAATGTCTTTGTGCAAAATGCATGTAATCATTTCAGGAACAATACCAAGAATTGTAGAAGCAAAAATCTTTTATTTAAAGCCCAATATTTTTCTGGTCTAATTCCAATTGTAATTTTTGTTTCCAATGAAAAACAAGGGAAAATTTCCTTTAATTGGAGTATGAGAAAACATTCTCAATTTGTATTTGAAAGTATGAAACAATGCACTGTAAGGCATATAGAACTATTTGGGAAAACAAAAAAACCTAAGCTTAAGAAGTATTACCACTTGTAGCTCAGTCCTGATAAAAACCTTCTAACAATCTAGGAATACCATGGAGATGTTTTAACTAAAAATACAAATAAATAAAATACAATATATACATGAACAAAGTTTATAGTAATTTTCTTCATCGTGCTATTTCAATGATACAAAAAAGAAAACAAATACCTGAGAACCAAGTTTATTCTCACGAGCAATTAGAATTATTGCTCCCAACAATAAGCATATTCCATGTCCCCAGTCCCCGAACATTACAGCAAAAAGAAATGGAAATGTAATAACAGTATAAACAGCGGGGTTTGCTTCTTGGTACCTAGCAACACTGCAAAAGAACATTGCTGTCTTAACAATTTGAAGAATTGAGAGCTACAGAACTACAATCAATAGAAAGGAGCAGTAAAGTAGTTTTCTATGAAACTGGATTTGCTCCTTACACACTTCACAGCAACCTCACAGCATAGTGCAGCCATGAATGACAACATACAAGTACAGTGGGAGATGTTCCCAATGCATGGCTGGAAGTGCTGTGAGGTTGGTGTGAGGAGCAAATCTGGATTCATTTTCTACCAAAAAAAGACAGCACAAAGTCTCTTCAACTAATCATCAATCACAAGCATTCAAGATTGAGTGCCATGTATAGCAGATTAGACCAGCTTTTTCAAAGCTGAAAAAGAAAGGTTTTGTGTGCTGATCCATGCACATTGATATGGGCTGTTGATCAGTCCATCCAAGCACCAAGCAGGTTTGCAATTCCGGTATACTTCCTGAAATAAGAGCAGAGAGTAACCAGGCGTATCAGCAGGGACATGCCATTTCGGTCACACAAACGGTAGCCTTCATACAGGAGAAAAACCTGCCAAGTGATAAAGGAAGAAAAACTCATCCCAAATCCCCAAAACTGCTTTCCACTCAGCAAACAGTCACTTTCTGCATCTTCAGAGAAGTGCTCTGGAGTTTCGATTAAACAGCACCTATCCAAAGTATTCAAACTTCATGTACTCGGTGGTGACAACTCCATCAAACCCTGAATATAATAAGGTTACTGCATGTACATATTCTCATTTGTCCCTAAAAAAATTGCTCTTGCTCCCCAGCATTTTTTCTCCATTCGGTAATTTTAGCATTGATCACTTAATTAATAGTGCATGTTCTTGATGATTCATCGTTATTCTCGGTCTTCACTAATATCACATTTGCTGAAGTATATGCCTCATCTATCAACTCTAAACTTCTGCCCTAATTACCCAGTCAATTGGATTCAAAATTCAGTCCATTTATATACAACTTGAATTACCAAAATATCCCTTACCAAATATTCTAACCTTATTTCCAGAATTTCTTAGCTAGTTTTCTCAGAATTCAGAAAAAAAAAATCTCAAAACCTACAAAAAACATAAATCTATTTTAACATCCTGCATCAATGGTGCTTCAATTTCAAGATGGCCTTTGCTTGGATGTTAATGCATACAAATACTGTGTCCATTAGAAGTAACAGCTGCAAAAGTGAATAGCATACCCATATGCATCAACAATTTCCTGAAAGGCATTCGTAAAGCAGTTGGTTCTAAAATATGTAGGTGGTGATTCCACAGCATCCATCACATGAAATATTATCCCCACTTGTGAGTTGCTATCAAGTGTTGCACGTTGCAATACATTGTGAATCTGTTGCATGTCAAAGTGTAAATGTTCTAGAGAAGTACTGAAATACTAATTAACATTTTATGGAAAATCTATCCACCAAAAAAAGATCAACAATGGTAGTGATGAAAATGTTACCTGAGGCTTTGAAAATATAGGGCACCACCCTTCCCCAACTAGACACTTTTTTGTAACATCAAAGTTCAGCATATTCAATGTATCATATACAGCTTTCTCCTTTCTTACCTATTAAGAAATGGTAAATTGATAAAGGAGCTTTCAATAGACAAAATGAAAAGAGGATTCACTGTAAAAATATTTGATTTTTTTTTTGGGTAGGAAAGAAAGTTCACTAAAATTTAAACTGTAAGAAATGCTGCACAAGAAGACAAAACCAAGACCGAAAGGCAATAACCATAATAAAATTAAAATAGTCTTAACCAAGAACAAGGCCCCATCTTCAAACTGCAGCACTAGCTAACAATTTTTTTTAAGTTAAAATAAAAATAAAATTTATTAGAGAAAAAGGAAGAGGAGATTACAGCAGGGCGATAAGGAATCGCCCAGCAATAGCAGACCCAAAAACAACAGATCCGCCCTAACAAAGCCCCTAAAAGCAGAGAAAAACCTACAGACATACCAAAGCACCTTAAGAAACAAACCCATATCCAAAAACAAATATCACAACAAAATCACAGATGTCCCTACCCCCAACCCCTAAAACAACAAAAACATGCCATAGACTGAATATCCCAGAAATCCAAATCCTGCCAGAAGATACATATGAAAAAATATCCTGAAACCAAACAATCCAACTAATGAAAAGCTCAACTTAAACTTTATCCATTTCTCATCATGCCTACTGTCTAATATAGAGATCTCTTGTCTCATCCGGGTAACTTTATCTTTCTCCCTTTCTTTTTTAATTCCGCTCCATATACTCCTAGCTTCAATCTGGCAAAAACATTTGAAACTTGTCTCTTTTGATTGGTTTTCTGTTTTCTAAATCTTCTTACTGCATTAGGGCATTTCTCCACCCTCGTAGAAACCTCCCTTTGAGTATAAATTTTTTCTAACTCAAATATGGTGTTCTTCTCAAACAATTGTTCAGCACTCAGGTCTTCTATACCACTCCCCTCCTCTACATCTCCAACTATCATAATCTTCCAATTTCCTTAGTTGTCCCTGAACCAGAATCTTCCGCCCCCTTAATCTTCTCTTTCGTCTAGAATCTCGTCTCTTCCACCTCCCTAAAAGTTTACTTTGTGAAATCCCCCCCCAAGAAGAATAAACCCAACAATTTACTGACCTTCACCCCTGTGTTCAGCACCCTTTCCACAGATTTCTATTCTTTGTGAGTCTCATCTATGGCTACTTCTTCCTCCTCTGTACCCATTGCTCCATCCTCTTCACCTGATTCTTCATCCTCTTGCAAAGGTCTGGTTCTATATTTTTGTCTCCTTATACAGATTCTTGATAAAGACTTTTTCTTTTCCTTATCCTCTTCATCAATGGTCTGGACTTTCCCTAAAGACCTGGAGGCCAACATTTTCCAACCCAAGCCCTATCTGAACTTTGTCCCTCTCTCCCCCTCCTCCATGTACATTCTCCCCCAATCTGTTCTCCCTTCCACCCTCTTTTTTTTTTTCAGGTTCCAGCTCTTCCAAAATCTTGATGTCATCTTCTTCAGGATTGTCATCTTTTTTTGTGAAAACTTCTCCGGCTGAGTCCACTCCATGACCTTGAAATCCGATCTTCCAACACAGCATCCCTTTTCTGATACCTTCCTCGTACCTGGTTCAATCCCATCAGAGGGAGCCAGAGTTCGTAAGCCTAAAGAATTGCAGCAGTCATCGAAACTTTCGTTGTTATAGGGAGGCTTCTCAGATTCATCGTTTTCAATATTAAGAGGAGATTCACCGGGATTATCCGGCGAGTAGCTAAAAGACCCCTGAAACCCACCTAGTTCAAACCACTCACCCCTAGGATCTGAACCGTGTTGTTAGAGTTGTTTTTTTTTCTGCTGTTAGGGTGCTGTCAGCATGTTCTTTTCTAGTTTTAATTATTTTATTATTAGGGTGTGCCGCCAGGGGCATGTTTGTAATTTTCTTTTCTTTTAATTACTTCTTGCTATTATAAATAAGAAGCTGGGCACCACCAGCAAGAACTTTTGACTCTCAAACAGTTTTCTTTCCCTTCTCTTCCCTCCTCTCCTCTCTCTTCTCTCTCTCTCTCTCAGAAAGAAAACATGGTATCAGAGCGCAATTCTGGGCTATAGAGATCCTTTCTCTTCTCTGAATCACATTCATTCCCAGTTTTTTCTTGATTTCTTGGACAGTGAAGGCAAGAAACCCTAATCAAACTGGTCAGACCACCCTGTTACTGTGTTTTCTGGGTTCTTCCTTGGTCGTAGCACCAAGGTAACCCTAGTAGGAGAGGGCCAATGCTGTGAAGGCTTCCTTTTCTTTTGGCTGATGCTGTAAAGGCCTCTTTTCTGGGTTTGCACCTTCATACAGGTGCTGTACAGGGGTGTATGATCCCCTTTTGTCACAGGTATGTGCTGTAATTAGTTGGTATGTGGTCCTTTTAATGGTTGGACTGTTGCTGGACTGTTTCTGTGGTCTCTTTAAATTACTAGACTGTTGCTGGACTATTTCTGGGTTGCTTCCGGGCTGTTTCTGGATTGTTTAATTGCTGGACTGATTTCAGCAGTGCATTTTTCTTTTCAGAAGTAGAAGTTTTGGTGTTTAGTACCCTGAATGTGACTGTGAGAGGTAGTAGTTGGGTGGGGACTAGTCTTGTGCACCTGTGGTTCTGTTTTCTGTAGCGTAGATCTTCTCCATCAATGGCAAATGATGATTCTGCTTCATCCGGGGTTACATCAACCTGTAGTACAACTGGTATGGGAGTTGAGAATATGATGTTTCCTATGCCAATTACCCCTTTAAATAGCCTAAATTACCTGGAGTGGGATAAAGGTGTAAAACCTTGTGTAACAGCAAGGGGAAAAGCTGGTTACATAAATGGAAAAGTGAAAGAACCCAAGAATGAGACAGCTGAACATGATAAGTGGAACCAAGAAAATAGTATGGTGATGTCCTGGCTCCTTGCAGCCATGGAACCTGATGTGAAGAAGAACTTTACGTGGTCAGACATTGCTAGTGAGATATGGGAACAGGCCAAAACCACCTACTCTGAGCAAAGGCACTATGCCAAGATTTTTTTATCAGTATGCCAAGATTTACCAACTACAAGCTGAATCTTCAACCTGTAAACAGGGGAACCGTAGTTTGTCAGCCTACTATTCAGCCCTTACTTCAGTATGGAAGGAGTTGGATCACTATCAAGCTATAGAAGTTGATTTCTCAGCAACGAGTTTTTGCTTTCTTGTTGGGACTAAACCCCGTATATGAACCTCTTAGAGTTCAGATTTTAGGGAGTAATCTTAGAGTTCAGATTTTAGGGAGTAAAGAGTTGCCTTCAGTTCAAGAGGTGTATGCCTTGATTCAGTCTGAGGAAAGTAGGCAGAGTGTGATGGTTACAACTGAGGGGGAGCAACGGGTGGCATTAGCTGCAATGGGTGGTAACAATATGGGAAAAAAAACCAAGAAGGTTGATGATAAGGACAAGTTGTTCTGTACCAGCAGCTCCATGGGAGGCCAAAGTGGGCTGTAAAGAACCAAGAACAGGGTAAGGTGCAGGTAGGGTTGTCAATGGGTTGGGTCAGACCCGATGAACCCAGACCGATTGGACCGGTTCTGGTTCAAGAATTTGTCTGGATGGGTCAGTTCCTGGTCTTTAAAAAATCTCGATTACTATCGGGTCAGAACCAGGTCCACCTTGTCCTGAACTGATTTGGACCTGACCCGACCCTATATATACTATTAAATAGATATATGATTTATGTTATGTCATATTTAAATAAGGTGGGGCTAAAGGTGTCATTTCAGTGGGGTTTCTTTCAAAACCTTACCGAAATGCTGCCCCCCCCCAATCAGCTAACCCTTTTCACTTTTGTCTTTCTAAAGAAGTCTTCTTTCACAGTTTCACTTAGTCACTCTTTCTCTAAGATTGAATCTCTTCTCAGTTCTCTCACTCGAAAATCGAAACTTGAAGCACATCGATCGGAAGCTACTGTCTGGTCCGTCTCAGTGGTCACACCGTCTGGAGAGGAGAGTGGAGGCTGCCCTGCCGGCTGGAAGTACATCATCTCACCGTCTAGTTCATCCGTCCAGCGACCATCCATCAACAATAACTCAGTAAGTAGTAACTCCCACTCCCTGTGTTACCCAATGATCAATGACAAACTGAAAGTCCAAAATGTTGATTTTTTATTGTGAAATCTTCGATCTTCCTTCATTTAAATATTTTGATTTTTTTTATTGTTAAAATGTTGATTGATTTTTTGAGTGTCAAAAAAACTGAAATGTTGCATATTGGATTTTTAATGGGCGTTTGAATTAATGGGTGTTCATCTTGTTTATGGAGTTATTGTAAATATTGCATTCTTTATAAATTTTTCTAATATTCAAACATACGAGAAAGAAGGCCTAAGACTGTTAACACCATGAAAAAAGAGAACAGAAATTGGAAAAGAAACAAGAAAAAAAAATCACTGCTATGACTAGGTGTGAGCAGGAAGCATTAGCCTCCTAGTTCCCGACTAATCTAAACTGATCCTACTTTTAGTACATGCATCACACAAGGTCTGGGTCTACATCTTGAATTACAAATTTTAAGAATCAGGTACTGATGCAAATATGAAAGCAAGGAAGGAATTCATAATCGGGTCCATCGGGTTGGACCCGATTATCCCAAGAACCAATCGGTTCGGTTTTGGGTCCAAAATCACAGACCCTATAGGGTCTAGGTTGGTTCCGGGTCCGTGGGTTATCTTATCAGTTCCGGGACCAGTTCTACCTAGTTCCGACCCAGAACCGACCCGTTGACAGCCCTAGTTGTAGGGTTAGAAGAAGCCTAATACAGCACATAATGCAGCAAATGTGGCAACCCAAGATACTCAACCTACTGGGGTGTCAACTGGTACTGCCCAGGAACACTTCAATGGTTCTGACCCCAAGGAGGATATCATGAATTCATTTCATAGTCATTTGGAATCATATGGTAGGGCCTTGCGCCAGATGGACAGTTCAGTTACTAGTACCCCTTTTACTTCATTTGCATCTACATTAGGTAATGCAGCCTCTGCCTTCCATGTCTCCACTACCACTGATTCCCCCCGGATC